GGATTTGTAGAAAATAAATTAAAAGTTCTAATACGAAATAAAGTCATGACCGTCAATCTAGGTCATTGGGCTTACACTATAGTTGGACCAATATGTCATTAGCTTTTAATTTTTGTATATCAAAATCTTTCCTTCCATCAAATTTCTCTACTTCAAATTTGTAAATTCCATTTTCCAAATATTAATACCCTATTCCCTTAACCTCCGATCATACTGGAAACGAAGACTTGCCCCTTGTTGGGATGTCCCCCGCTACCACATAGTTTTATTCCCAAAGCTCCAATTATCTATCTATCGGACACGATTTTTATGAGTCGATGTAGAAATGAGTTACCTCTTAAAAATTTACTTTTGAGATGGATTTTTGGACTTAATTTTTAAGGACAAGTAATCTCTAATATGAAAGTTATGAATACAAAAAAGTAAAGTAATTTTGAAAATTAGAAATAATAACTCTATTAATAAAACATTTGGACTGTTAGTTTTAATTGTTTTTAGATGAACAACATATTTGCATCCATCTTTAAGATAGATGCTTTATATCTTGGGACCATATATGCTAGAAATGCAGTCCAGCCCGCATGAAACAATTTTCCCTATCTAAACTAAGTTACAACTTCGCCAAGGCCACCAATGATTTGAGAAGTGTAGTAGACCATCTTGAAGCAAGTATAGATGTCCCTAGCTCAATGCTTGGTGAAGGTATTCTTGTCAAAAAAAAAAAGGACACATTTTTTATGCGGCCAACCCGCATATTGTAGAAATGCGGGCTTGGCAATAATTTTATGCTTTAATATAATTTGATCCGATTTTTTAAAGAATATATAATGATTAACATAGAGATTATGAATATGAAAAAAAAAATTTGAAAACTGAAATAATAATTATATTAAGAAAACATTTGGACTGTTAGTTACACTTGTTTTTAGAGGGACCACCTATTTGCATCCATCTTTAAGATGGATGCTTTATACCTCTGGGCTGCATATTGTAGAAATGCAGTCCAGCCCGTATGAAACAATTTTCCAAAAGAAAAAAAATCTTCATAAAGATATTTATTTGTTGGACATAGTTTCTATGTGGCCAGCCTGCATATTGTAGAAATACGTACTTGACAATAAATATAATTTTATCTTAATTTTTAAAAAATATATAATCTTTAATATAGAGATCATGCATATAAAAATTTTAAAACAAAATTAAAAACTAAAATTATTATTATGTTAAAAAAATATTTAGGCCACTAATTATATTTATTTTTAAATGAACAACCTATTTGCATCTATCATGATGATGGAAGCTGCATGTCTCTAGAGGGCATATTGTAAAAATGCGGTTCAGCTAGTTTGAAACAATTTTTCTTATTTATTTGCCGACCTGTAAGAGAATCCGTTTTTTGATATTTGCAGATTTTAAGGTACGTTTCATCAATCATTACCACCATGACGTAGTCACCCACACGTCATCATATCAAATAAAAAAAATATAAAAAACGTCATCATATCAAATAGAATATAAACGGCTGAAGTCGGCCAACGACTATCTGCAAAGGACACGACGCCCCTACACTAAAAAGCGGGTGGTACGATTGCCCGTTTACGACGAACTAGTATTTTAAAATGGATAGACTTCCATGGACTCTCTACATTGCGGTCTCTTTTTCTTTCTTTTTTTTTTCTTATTTTATTTTATTTTTTTAAGGTGTAGTGTAACTCACAAATTCTCTAAGCATAAGCTTTTTATGCTTTCCTATATAAGAATGCTACCTTATAACGTAATACTACGGATGCCCCTCAAAAATCCATCAAAAAGGGTAGTTTTAATGTTGAAAAACCCTTTGATTGATCATCTCAACATCGAGATGTATGACTATAAAAAATAAAAAGATTTTAAGTCTAAAAATAGTACATATTATAACATATTATCCATACTGTCAATTTTCAAGATTTTTAATATGTTTATAAGTCTACTTGATTTTAACCATTTTTAAAATTTTAAATTTTATAATTAGATATAAAAATAAATTTTGAAATAATCTTAATGACATGTTACATCAAAATTATATACCATCATTAAATTTAAAAGGCACCATACCGCTACACCTATGGAGGCATCCGTATGCCAACTGCACCCTTCCTTATGGCATAAAACTTATACCGTTCCCCTTATCCAATCGTCCATTCTGAAAGGAGGGTTTATATTATCCCAATCACAATTTCTCACTATTTTATTTTCAATTTTTTTCTATAAACTATTTTGACACCAAAATTTGAACATCCAATCTTCTATTAAACTTGCATGTTCTATTAAACTCGCATGTTCCAATCTTATATTATCTTGTTATAACATGTTATCTTGTTATCGTGTTATTTAATGGCATGTGCGAAGTCATGAAATTTTGAGAATTATTTTAATTCATATTATTTATCCACATGTGATTTGTAGCATGTAAGTATATCTTATGTGGCACCACCTTATGGGCTTGACCTATATGAAACTTTAGTGTTGTTAAAATCCTATTGATGGTATCATAATATATTTTATTCACATGTATAGATGTCCCATATTACCTTTATATCATTATCCTTATGTTTTATTGACTCTCACAAATTATTAAAAAACCATGAGTATAAGTATAAACATGAATTTTGACTTAATGGGAAATAAAACATGGAGCTAAGGGCTTCAAGGTAAAATGACTATAAACCTAGGTTGTAATGAGTGAAATGTGTCAAAAGCTCATCCATTGATCTTGTTGCTAAGATATGGATGAGTGGCTTGGATAAAAGTCTCTCATGTGCCATTGATCTAAGGCATCAATAATCAAGATCAAATCTATCTTTATGATCTAAGTATAACAGTAACTTATGAGATCAATTATAATCATAACTTGAGTATTCACTTCTAAGAGAGAGAGAGAGTGAGAGCCCTTGACAAAAATGTGGTCACCCATGAGACTATCTTCTTCCTTGAATTTTCATTTGAACCCTTCCATGGAGTAGTCCATCATTTATGTGATCAAGCCCATACTATTGCTTCATTAAGGTATTGATTTTTCTTCTCATATTTTTAATTCTTACCTCATTTCCATTATCAAAGCTTGTTATAATTCTTAATTTATAGTTGCTTTCTTCAGTTTTGGTCATGAAAACTTGATATTTGAAGAGTCTCAAAGCAATAGTGTAGTCCATACATATAGTATATGTAGACTAGCTTGCTTACTTCATGATCTTGAGTAGTTTCAACTTGATTTCTTGATCTTATTTTTTTGAAATTTTTACTAAGAATATACAACTGATGAGAGGTTTATTTCATCATATTTGAATATAAGAAATAGTCCATTAAGTTCCTTTTTTAATGTTGAAAAGTTCGTGTGATCCCTTATGGACCACATGGTGTTGTTTCACTATAACTTTCTTATTTTGTGTAGTATCTCTCTCAAACTTTGAATGGCTATTTTAATACATGTCTTTCTCATAATTTAATCGTCATTAAGTAAAATAAATGTGATCATTTTCTTCCCATTGGATTGATCTCCTCGAGTTATTTTTATCCCCCGTGCCTTAGACAATGGGACAAAATTAAGTCCTCAAAAAGCCATGTCGTGGCTCGGGCACAAGGGGATCGAACCATGGTTTCCCCATGTATGTTTGCATGTTAATTTGATCTATTTACAGTTATTAAATGGATTCATGATTGGTTAAATTGAGTATACTGTGTGAATATTAAGATTGTTTTTTAAACTTGCGGTATGAGCTTTAATGCTATGCATTATTGTTTATGCGAATTAAAGTCTTATTGAATTATTATGATCAAGTGTATGAGATATTATGATATATGATGAGGATGAATAATGAAGATGAAATTATCATATAATTTTGATATAATGAGGAATTGTGAGTGCAAGTCGTGCAATATGTTGCAGAGATGGACAATGTGAACATTTGAATATTGTATTCAGTTTAATTGAATTTTTGAGTAAGGGATTTGTAAATGACCTATTAGGGTTGAATTTTATTATTCAAATGTGTATAAACCATGTTTGTAGGCTGGAATATATGTATTATGGTTTTGTATTGAGATATTCATGCATTTAAACCCTTGAGTTTTTATACAATGGAAATTTTTTAAAAGATTGCATTTCTAGCCCATTGGTCTTATACCACCAACAGTAAGTCCATTTGTTTTTTATACAAGGTGGTGACAATCATTCTCACCGATTGGATGTGAAATCTAATAGATTGAAGTGTATCACAATGTTTGATAAATTTTATTTTTGACTTTATACCCAATCAATGGTACATCCCCAACCCACCAATTTTTATGCCTAGTGGTCAATAATGATTGTGATCTCCCTCTGTCAAAAACGAATAGTCATATTGTATATATTTACTAAAATTAATACTAGATTGTATACAATGAGACTACTTACTTTTTATGAACAACCGATGTGAAATTTGATAGCTTAGATGTCTCACAGAGTTCGAAAAAAATTCTTTTAAATTTTGAGCTTGGCTAATAGAGTAAATATAACCACCCAATTTAACATCTAATGGCAAAAATTAATTGTGATCACTTTGTACACAACGTAAGTTGTCTTCCTATATACATTCCTAAAATAAATGCCTTATATAAAATGTTTTTTAAATTTTTTTTACTTCGTTTATTTGTGATCCACATATCCAAATTTTAAATTTCCAGTTGTACACTTTATATTGTCTTATGCCATGTGTGATGATGATGATATGGTTGTAAGTGTTGTGACCACGTATGTTATGGTCAGGCACAAGCACATAAGTATAAGAGAAATTTACATACGGACTATATTGGAAGGGGTCAATTACAAAATGAGATCATGTTTGTCCCAAATTATACAGAGGCACTCCTCTCCCTCCGTATTTGTTTGTTTTTATCAAGTTACCACCTGTCCGATAAACCAAACAATTAGCATATAGATTTTTTACATATAAACAAAAAATAATTGTCTGAAGTTCGAATCAGTAGACAACTCTTTAAGTTTTATGTTTGTTATCGGGTGTTCTAAATATCATACACAAGATTTTTACTTTACAAAATTCAAACCCCAGTCTAGAGATCGAAATACCCGACAAGTCTTTGGGAAACACTCCGGTATGTCCACTTGCCTACAACTCAGGTAAAATCCCTCTTCGAAGTAGTTCCGGCGAAGGAAGATTGGCTGCGCACTAAAACTTGGTCTGCAGATACTTCTCTTTGATAGCATTGAGAGTGCAGCCATTATGATTAATTTGAGGATCATGTAATGTGGAAACCATGCTTTCAAATTCAATGCCTTATATCCAGTATAATGCTCCAAAGTTGGATTCCATGGATGACCTGATGGATCAAGCACGCATCCGGTAAGGACTACGACATCTACAGCAGTGAGAGAAGAGATGGAAGAAACTTCAGAAAGCTATATTGCCATACAATCTATGAGCTGCCATTAATCTTCTTTTTTTTTAACTTTATATGAGTCACCATTAATCTCTCCTCCTCTTCTTAACTAAAATCTCTGCGATTGGACCTTGGATCCAACTAATTAAACCGTCTCAATCCACAATTTTTCCCTGCAAAAACAAAACAACCCAAATACAAAAGCCATTAAAACACCCCTTTCTCTCACTAGATCTTCCCTGTTTTTCTCTCTAGAATCTCTCCCTCCCTCCCTCTCACAAAAGAGAATGGTTGAAAACTGAATACCTGATCTCCTTTCTAGCTTCTCAGCGATCAAATTCCAGGTTTGGGGACGGGATGTAGAGAGGAGAGAGAGAGAGAAAGAGAGAAACATCAGCCTTCTCTCCCTGCCGCTCTTTCTGACCTTCTTCACCTGAGCCCTCACGTTCCAAAACAAGCATCTCCAGCATTTCTTCTCATACCCATTCACCCAGCTAATCCTCCCCAAAACCCGATTTTTAGAGAAAGAGAGAAGGGGGCCTCAAATACAACAAAAAAAAAAAAAAAACACGAGGGTAAAAAAATAAAATAAAATAAATAAATAAATAAATTTAAAAAAAAAAAAAAAAAAAATAGAATGCCGCCAGTAATTTGAGACAAATGTGATCTCATTATATAATTGACCCCAGTATGATCCATATGTAAATTTCTCATGCAGCATCAATGGCGCTGCAAGTGCAAGTAGCTAATGCATCTTATAAAGAGGACCAGGCCCTAACTCTTTGCACCAATTCACTTCACCACTTAAGACGTAGCAAGCATGGCCGCTACGTTGTTATCTAATATTTTGACTAACAATTCCTCTGTTCCTCACCACTACATCAGACCCATTTCTGATCACCCAAACCTCACCCAAGTCCATTACACTGATTGCCCAGTCTCTTTTATTGATCTTCAAAGCCTTGAAGGACCTGATAGGACCCTCGTCCTCAATCAGATTGCCGAAGCTTGTCAAAAGGGTAGCTTGTTTCGGGTATTATCTCTCTAATTTCAGCATCATGGCAATTTTTTGTTGTTCATTTTCTTTCTTTCTAATCTCCCTACTAGACGTGCCGGAATTTGTAGGTGGTGAACCATGGAATATCGGAGGGCATCATCACGAACATGATGTAGGTCTCGCGCCATTTCTTCCGACTTCCAGAATCTGAGAAGATGAACTTCTCAGATGACCCCTCCAAAACAATGAGACTCTCCACCAGCTTCAACATGAAGAGAGAGAGTGTTCACAATTGGCGTGACTACCTAAGTCTCCGTTACTATCCTTTGCAGGACTTCAATGATGCCTGGCCCTCAACCCCTGAAAGAAAGACCTATGTGATCTTTTATCGAGGAATACTTTTTTTTTTTTTTTCACCCATTCTTTTGGCGAAAGATCACTTCTAGGTGGTCTTTATTATAATAAGATAAATTTCAAAATAAAATCAACATGACAATAAAACTAAGATCTTAACAACTTGATGTCATCGAAACAACTATGCACTATGCTTGAGAATAAAAGATAAGATTGCAATAAACAAAATGAAGAGTGTCAGAGATTACCTTAACTGAGCTTATTACACCCCACACCGAGTCACCACCATCTGATGGCGAGGGATAAACGAACTAACTTCAATCTCGAACTAAGAAAGCAAATTTCGGCCAAGCCACATCAATAGAATATGAACCCCTTTGATCACAAGCTCAAACCCTATGTGAATTCTCTTAGCAACCTAGTTTGATAGAGATGGATTCTCTTTTTGCTAAGCCCTAAAACCTTTAGCCATAAATCCGTATTTGAGAGATAGGAGAGAAGATCTTCATAACTTAAACCCTTAGGTTCTTTCACAATGTGGGAGAGAGAGAGATCAAACATGAGAGAAATACTTAAGAGAGAGAGATAGAAAGATAGGGTGTATAGATTTTTGGTAGAGATAATCCCTTTTTATAGGCTTTCAATAAGATTAAGGTTTCTTAGGGTTTTCTTTGGCTTGCCTCTTCTTGTAAGATTGAACATAGACTGTCGATCAAAGGTGACTTGTGGGGTGAGAGATCTGAGTCATCCATTCCATAGATGAGCCATCAACATTATAAAAGGTACTTGGACCATTATCCTCTTTTCCTTAAGCCATTTTCCCATCAATATATTTAAATAAAATAAATATCATGCATTCTATAAAATTGCATGATCCATGTGATATATTCCCTAAGGATATGTCAAGTAATATCAGGTAGATAAATACTACGAATATAAATAAGATAAGATCCATATCAATTCAAATTGGTCATATCTCTTTAAACAAACTTGCTACAAAACAGATAAAGTCATGGTCAATATATCCTTTCCAAGATTTGACCACATACCACAAATCAAATTGACCTTATCTTCAAAGCAAACATGAGAATCCAGAGAGGGTGGGGCGTGCCACCCTTTTTGGGGCACATGTGGGCCCCCACCCACATGCCACATGGTGGGCCCATGTGCACTATGGGGCCCCCATGAAATTTTATTTTTAAAAAAATATTATTTTTAAAATTGAATAAAACAATTTAAAATATATATTAAAATTTTTATAACTTTGTAAGAACAATAACTGTATTTTTATAAGTCCAAAAAACACAAATAAAATATTGAGAGATTCATATAATAAAACTAAAATCATTTCAATAATAAAATGAATACAATTAAATTAATATGATGGGAAAATGATCCATATGGTTTAGGAATCAACAATCATCGGGCACTCCACCTTCAACTGTGGACTACAGACCACACTTACTTTATCAGACCGACCCAGTGTATCTCATGACCCACAATCCAAGCATGAGCTTATTAGAGGGTCACCAAAGTCTGGATGAGCCAAGGGATCACAATCCTAGTCTGTGGATTTCAGGTCCTCCCCTAAAAACAATTCAAGGTCACCAAGACCTTATGCGACCACAGCTCTATGACGCATAGGGGTATCTCTCGCACATACATACGCTTCACCGTAAAAGGTGAATTTTTTGCTTTCCCGAACGATCTATCGATATGCATGCCGTGGATGGCACATGGATGAGGCTTTGGCCCCCGTCTTTGCAGGACACCTTCACACACAAGGGTCACATAGTCCCTCGACTCACTCATCCGCGCATATTTTTCGACCTCATCAAGGGCTAACCCATTAGAACCCTTCTCGGTTTGTTCTTTATACCAAGGTAACATGGGTTTTCCCCAACCGACTGGCCTAGATCGTCAAGCACAGTTCGATATCTGTAAATATCGTTTGCTTAGAATGATCCATGGGGGACCACACTCCCACTGAGTTCATGTTCCACTATATCATTTCATTTTACAAGCACTTATAAGGCCACATAAATCCAACAAACCCTACTTCTTTTAAGTCCATCTCCACTGAAATTCAATTTTTTGGGTAAAAGAAGTGATAAACTTAATCCTTTTTCCTCCTTTTTTTAATGATAAGCATTAATTTCATTAAAAATTCACAATTTAATCTCATGTTTTGTGAGCTTACAACCATTGTTCGACCACGCCCGAGTATCCCCGAGTTGGTGCTCGACTAGGGGATCTTAAAAAAATTCAAAATAAATAATAATAAAAAATATGTATTTGTAACATGCTTTCTATGTGTTCTATTATTTTGACAAAGATTGCAAAGTATTTTTGCCATGGATCTTTATTTTTATATTTTTTTTCCTTTTAAATTATTTTAAAAATGTTCCTAGTCACAAATTGATTGTTTTTTAGGGCAAATTACCTACAAACACTTCTGAGAAGGGTTAATTACCAAATGAGGTGTCTTTTGCCAGAAATTACGTGCACCAGCCCCACTCCTTTGTCCAACAATGCAAAAACATGGTTTTTTTTCTACGTAGTTCCAAATCTGTTTGGCATTCTCATTGCCGGACAGCTCTCATTGGTGAAAAAAAAAACCCAAATATGTTTCTCCTTTTAGAAAAAAACCTAAATCAGCTCCATCTAACACACTCTCTCTCTTTCGTTCCAATGTTATGATTCACCTTCTCTCTCTTCTTAGTATTTCTCTTTTTGGGTGCTGATCAATTGAGCAAGGAGGAGCCTATACGGACAATATTGTCTTCTCTACAAAGTTTTAGGGTTAGGGAAAATGGCTTTAATTCTCTGCAATCTCAAGGTCGAATTGGTCTGCCAAACGTAAGAGCGAAAAAATAGATGGAGGTTGGTTTTTTATGCAATTTTAGGAGGAGATTCTTGGAGGCAAAAGATGAGAGGCTCCATCAAAGATAGTCTACTTCCCTTGAAGAGATTGAAACAATGCTATTCCTACTCATTATCAATATTATATTCCCCTCCTTCCTCTAAGAGAGAGAAACAATCCCAATCTCACTCTCATTCGCTTCCATGCCTTTCGCAGCAGAGGCATTATTTGGTGCACCTTCCCCATACTAAAAAAAAAACTCCTCACTCTCGTTACTGTAGTGCTCTGATACCACTTGTAGTGCTTTGATACCATTTGTTGTGCTTTGATACCACTTGTTGTGTACAGAAGCTCTAAACTCGATAGGTTAATATTTGGTACATAAAGTATGAGATATAAAACAAGAAACACATACAATAAGAACACAAAGATTTATGTAGTTCACCCCAAAAGGGCTACATCCATGGGCACGGTAATTAAACATCCACTCTACCAATGAAATTTACATAAAAGATTTTAGAACAAATCTCGACAAAAAAACTAGTTGAGTAAATCCCTTTTAAACCACTCTCCCTTTATTCTCTTTACTTCTGGCAATCATTATCAACAGCACCAGATAGAGATGTGAGAGCAACGAGAAACTTATTTTCTTTCTGACTAAAATGGAATCAACTCAAAATCTCCATAACAACACTTCTTTACAATAAACCAACCTCTCACTTTGCAGAAGTCTTCAGGAGGTACTATCACTGTTTTTGTTCATAAGAAGCTCTCTTCTCTAAAAGGAAATTGCATCTTATGTACATGATGCTCTATCTCTTTCTCTCTCTAGAGGAACCACCATTCTCGTATGGTGACCCAATTTGGGCACACAACTTCTCTGTACTTTCATCCCATATATATAAAGTTAGGAATCCATACTAAATAGGAAACTTCTTATAGATCTCATATATATCTCAAAAGACCAAAAGATATATCCAAGAATCCTAATCCGTTTTGTATTTCTATTTCTCTTAAAAAACTTAACAATATCAATCTCAATCCCACATAATATTGAAATATCTCAATCCCACATAATATGGATCAATCTTAATCAATCCCACAAAATATAAGGTTTCCTTAAGTGGGTGATTTTGGATAGCACCAAATCCAATAATCTCCATCTTGATATCAAAGTCGCATGCTCACCATGCCAACATCTATTGGATAACTTTATGAATTCTTCATCTTTTGCCAAATAAATTTCATCATCATTCTTGTTGAAAAAATAGTGTTTGCCAT